CTCATTCTCTTCTTTGCGCCTGAATAGCTTTTTAATGGAAGGTTCAATTGCCTCCACTCTCTCTACCAAAACCAAACAAGTCTTTTGATTATACTGAGCATTCGTGTATATCGAGGTAATCTCTTTGATTATTCTCTTAACAGATTCAATCCATGGTGCGAAATGCTTAGGGACTTCAAGTCTGCACGTGTCAACTTTATTATTGGAGTCCGTGACACCATCGGAATTAAGTTCGACTTTCCACTTTTGTTCAGAATCATGATGCGGTGTTTCGGTCAACCTTGACGAACTCGTGTGGACTTGTTCCTCGTTCGCAACAATATTTTCATATTGCAAGTCTCTTGGATTTTCTCTTTTTTTATGACCTCTTCTTCGCTTCTTTTTCACGAAACACATAAAACGCATTTTGAATTTAATGATGAACTAGTGGTGGAATAAATTAATTCCTCACAGTTTCGACCTTTTATATAAGTGTAGCGAGCAAATTTGTCCTCTGTTGTTCACTGCTCGGATTTCGAGTACCGAGATATGCAAACAAAGATATAAATTGTTGTTTCTGAGGAATTTCCTAATGGAAAAAGAATTTTTCCGAGAGAAAGGCAAAATTGGTGTTTTGTCACACGGCAGGATTCCGGTGTTCCATTTGAATATTTCCAATGTGCATAGTAAATCTAGACTGCAATTGCTGAAGTTCGTGAAACCTTATTTAAACGCATATGTACAGTATAATATGCATGCAGTTGATACGCGCGTACAAGAAGCAACGTTGAATATTGAAATTGTACTGTATAATGAACAGTCGCGTCGAAAAAAAAATTTTTTTAAATAAGGCAAAGGGTAAATAAAGTAAACAGCGGGAGGGTAATTTGATGATTAACCTACAATATTTGTTATGTCAATGATTTTCGTTTGCATTACAGTACGTAAAACTATCTCTTTGACACTGTATTCTCTTGGTATTATGTTCCTTTTTATATTTCTTAGGCAAAAATAGGGTATCATTTATTTGTAATTTATCCTATTGCCATTTTGCAGCTCGACAGGCGATGTCAGTATAATAAGAAAACTAAAAAATATAGAAGCTCACATCTTTTACATGATTTGTACCACGAAATTTTACGGCCTAAATGCGTAGATACAAACACAACGATACTGTATCTATGAAAGATTAATCCGTTGCTCGATAAAAGCTAGTGGTGCATTATGTACCACCATCGTTTAGCTCTCACATTTATGTTTCTTTCAGAGCATTTTTGTGTGCTGCTTTTTTAAAATCGATGCTCTATACACTAACACTTTGTCATACCTTTGTTGTAACGTTATTTATGCGTAAGAATAGAGTTACACCTCTCTAATAAAACTTTTGGCATATAGTATTATACGATAAATTTCCTAAATCAACGTCACTACTTTTGTAAGATAGCAACAATGCAAATAGCCTTGCCATTAAATTCGGGGACAGTTAAATTAATGCCATTCTTAATCCGTTCAATGATTGAGTCCGTGGGCATGGGTTCGTAAGTTTTATGGTGGTAAGAAAAAAAAAGTCTGATGTTGACATTCAGATACACGCCAATTATTGGTTCTAGTAAGATGGTTTTTATTCAAAAGCTTTGTTTCCCCTATAAGATTCTATGCGTATTTCGATTCTCCATAAACGCAAGAAATTTCTACTTTCTCAAGATTTTATACATAATGATTGTGTTTACTACCTATCCAATTTACAAACATCGTCAATAGTAATTCCATGGCTTGTATTTTCTATATTGAGGAATCAAGTTGTATAAAAAAAAAAAAGATCTTATCTTAAAGAAGACCTAGCAAGTTCGTTATCCTATTTGATATATCAATTGAATACTGGACGAAAGATTTACCATATGTTAATTCCATAAGATTGCACGTGGTTTGTCCATTTAAATAAATGTTTCTGATTTCTGGAACTCCGGGTGGGTCACCTCCGGATTTGGTTCGAAATGATCTAAGATTATCTCGTCAACTGGTGATCCGGTTCGATAAAAATTTTGTTTTATAGACAAACATGGTTTACAAAATAAAGAGTTTATCGATAGTTGGCGAATAACGATTTTGAAGAATTGAAAAATATTTTTTACTGATTTATAAAACAATATAATAGAAAAAAACTGACATTAGATATAGTAAGAAACCCAGATAGAGAACAGAAAATTGAATATGAATCAAACTCAAACTCTGGGAAAAATGGAGTATATACAGTATATCAGTGTTGAGGATGGCGAATCTTTTGAGTACAAAAGAAAGAAGATGCTCTATAATGTATAAAAGAAACAAATTGAAAAAAGGACAACTTCACCATTCAACACATAGTCCCTTGAGCTATATAATATACAAAAAATCAAA